AAATGCTGATTAAAACGCTCACTCCCATTCTTTGGGGCATGATTCTTAAACTACCCTTTCTCAAGAAGAAAAGTATCTAAAATAAAGTCCCAAGACTATTTCCTTTGCTAGTTTGTATTAAAAAGGGTCATAATTTCAGGTACCTTTACAAATAGTCATCAATGAACTTATAAACAGGTATTTATTGAATACTTCTCTCCCTCCCTGCAATGTGGAGAATACAAGTGTAAAAATGCTTTGTACTTCTTAGGGACTTTATAGCCTAGTTGGGGAGATTACAGAATAGAAGGCCACACATACCTTATTTCACTGCACAATTGTCAGATTTTATGCCAATTTTTTTTTTTTGCAAAAGAGCGGGCTGTAACCATTATGTGAAGCTTTAAAAAAAATTGTGCCAGTATTACTTAAAAATCACTCATTACTAAACCGTATTGCTAGCAAACAAGCGGTACAGTTTAGATAGTATCGGAGGATGCAAGTCTTACTATATCACATGACTTAGACATGGCAGCCCTACCTGCCTGCCCACTCCCCTTGCACTTACAGCTCTTCACTGGGTTGAGTGACAACTGTCAGTACTGCAGCGTTCTAAACAAACCACACCAATCAGCTTTCGGAAATATACTGACAATGCTTGAGTGCTCAGGATTGGGCTCTTGGCTTGGAATGCTCCAGAGATAAATGTGTATTCATATGCCGCTGGTGAATACACTGCTGCTTCTGTTTACCTTTTAAGAGGTGTGATGAACAGAATTATACCATGCAAAAATTATGTGACGAAAGGTTATAAACCAATTTTTGGACTGAAAAAACAGGATGAGATGATTATTCAGTGACACATGGTATAAGTGTTAAATTGTGCACAATAAGTGCACTAAGAATGTAGAGGACAGGGGTAAACCAGTGAAGACCAGTCAGGTCTAAAACAGCCAAAATTTTCTGAAAACTAAATTATTCATAACCACAATCTCAGAAGAATCAAAAGGCCCTGGAGAGACCTGCAGGTGAGGTGAGTTCCAGAATGTTACCAACTAAAGTCTGTGGGCAAAAACAGCATAAGATATAGTTAAAGATTAGAATAGAAAGAGGACCTAACAGACGGATAACCCAAGAACTACACAGATATATACAATTTCTCTTTTTTCTTAAAAATGCAGGAACACTTCCAGTGCATTGTATGGATCTTCTACAAGAAATTTATGGGAATATATGGACAAGAATCACCCACGATGAGAGGGCAAAGAGGTTATGACCTGCAGAGGTGAAGGGAATACTTTCTATCAATGAGACCACAAATACCATTGATTTGTGAAACATCAACTATAAAACCCTTAAAAATCCTTCCCTCAAAATCATAATCATGCCTAAATGTTTTCAAAATGAAGGTATTTTTAAAATGAATCGGAGGAAAAGAAAGATGCCTAAAAGACAGATATTATTGTCTTTAAATTGTATTTATTCTCTTGATTTTCCTTATTTTATATATTATTCTATTTTCAATAAAAAAAAAAATCAAAGCAATTTAATGATATGGAATACTTTAATATAGGATTGCCAAGTTAACAGGAACAGATAATTTCTGTGATAAATACTTCCAAATAATCTTGTAAGAAACAATAGCAGATAACCAATAAACAGGTATCAAACATCAAAATCAAATGGACCCAAAAAATAGCTGCATTAGCTAGGCACAGACAGTTACGGAACAAAATTAAATCTGAAAAGTTATCAACACAAAAATATGCTAAGATGACACTGACCCATCTTTAATTACAGGATCTTCTCAAGCCTGTCACTTACAGAAACATAACATTATAGAGCACATGCTATGTCATACTAGGTTAATATTTTTTAAAATAAGGCTTCATTAGTTAAGATGAAAGGTTCCAAATGGAAAAGGATGCATCCAACCAAGGCCACAGAATACAACAGTCAAAGTAACATATTAACATCATTCCAAAAGGATGTTGATTTAACAACCCCTAGAGTAATTTGAATAGAGTGTAATTTTGGTATAGCATGAGAACTTCCTTGGTAAGAGGTAGAAGTAGTAAGATTTTTTTATTTCAAATTTCAATAACATTCTTAAGGTTGTTCCATGAAAAAAAAACACAGAGATGATGACAAGTTTTATACCTTATTTTTGTATTAAATACTTCCACGTTTCCATTAGTGCAAAGTAAACATTCAGTTTCAAAATATGCTACAAAATATTTTTCAGGAGTGATGTAAAATCTATTTGGAGCAAATAAGATTAAGCAAAAAGTTGTAAAATATTCATGACAAATAACTTATTAAAGCTACACACCATAAATCTAATTTTTATATTTGCTATAAAAATAAAAGCAATATTTTCTTCCCATATAACCCAGAAATAGCCTGATTTTTTTTTTGGTGGGAGGAGGAAGGAGAAGGTTGTGGGGATAGTCATTCAGTTATTAATGTGCATAAAGAGACCACTAGAAATTAAAATCTATACAGTACAACTTTTTTTCCTTTTATCTCCTCACACAGATCTGTTTCTCTCATAATATATAACTTAATAAACATGATTTGGACTCAGAAGCTCTGGGTTTAAAGCCTGGGTCAGCTACATACTAACTACCCTGATGTAAGCTTGGGTGAGTGACAGCTTCTAGAACTTCAGCTCATCATCCAGAAAATGAGGGGCTGGACTAGAATGTCTCTGATGGCTCTTCCAGCCCCAAAGCTAGGGCATGCATGGCTTTTAGATGCTTGTTCAGCAAACAAAATGAAGCGAATCCAGCCAAGGTAACCTCTAAAACCCTTTCCCACCTCTCAAAACACCCCAAATGCCAACTTTCCAATAGGAAGAAGCCTTGGTGCCAAGTTTCCATCTATTATTGTTAAAGCAGCTCCCAATTTACCGATCCCAAAGAGCACAAAGAAACTTGGCTTTCTGTTCTTTTTTGACCTTTTTTTGGTTTGCTTTCTGTCTCTAAGGCAGAGTGGGCAATCGTCAGCATCCCCAAGGAGGAGCCCCTTCTCAGAGAGCCGTCTCCACCACCAAGAAATGAAGGGACTTGCCCAGGACCATACAGCCAGTGCGTGTCACAGGCAGGATTTAAACCCAGGTCTTCCTGCCTTCCAGCTCTCTTAACAACTACACCATTCCTGCTCTATTCTCTGCTTTTAATGCTTACACCACACCCACACAAACTCTCTCACTCTCCACGGGGTCACTGGTATACAGCCAGGCACGTCTATTCAAGCCCCAAGCCAGGAGCTGAAGAGCAATGCTGCCGGTCCAAGCCAGCTTTTAAGTCATTACCTGTGGAGGGAAGGGGGAGAGGGAATGTGACGATTACACCGCAACTTTGTGGACAGATTTTTCTCCTCCCCTTCTATAACACATACATACACACATACCATTTACATAGATAGCTAGCGGTACACAAACACATACACATATATGTCTCCTCACTGGAGAATAAGCTGCTTGCAGGTAGGGATGGTTCCCTTTTGACAATTTCTTTCCCCAGCACCTAGTACTTATAATAAGCATTTGAGAAATGCCTGTTGATTGACCTGTTGATTGTAAAAGACCAAATGCTGACACCTGGGACTGAAAGAGCTGCCCGGAGGCCAACTGGCACACTGAGATCATAACAAGCCCAAGGCTGCCATGGTCTCCAGGTAAAACGGACAGAAATCAGGACAAGAACAGGTCAAGAGCAGGAAGCGCTGGGCCGAGGAAAGGCTGAATCTGAAGGTCAGACCACCTCTCTGGGTCTCTGCTTCTCATGAGCAGATGATTTGGGGAAGTCTTTCAGGCTCTCTAGGCCTCATTTTCTCCCTCTGTAAAGTGAGGGGCCAGGACTAGACGACCCCCTCCAGCCCTAACAATCATTCAAAGCATCTAGGTGACACTGGTCAAGCCCTCCAGCAGCGGTTCTCAAACACTCTGGGCATCAGGACACCTGTCCCACTCTTCAAAACAATCAGAGATCCCAAACAGCTTCTGTTTAAGTGGGTTTTATCTACTGATATTAACCAGAGTAATAATTAAAATGTCTTGGGACATATGATGAAAAGAGACCTTCTGGGCCCTCTGAACGTGTTGGGACCCCCAGATCATACCTTAAGAACTGCTGCCCAAGAGGGAAAAAGCCAAAAAGCCTTACCATTGAAAAGACCAGTTATAGAAAGAAATACATTCCCAAATTGGGAGAAGCCTCATTTTTTCCTTAAAGTTTCTCTGACAGCCAACACTGAAAGTCTTCTTCAATGTGTGCTACTGGATCAGGGGCTGAGTGACTGAAGTCTCTGGGTCCTCTTTCCACTCCACCAGGCTGGAAGCCAAGGATTTCACATCCCAAGACAGATACATACTGTTACTACTTAATTACAGATGTATGTGTGGCTTTGTGAATCCAATTTCTTCCATCACAGGCATCTCTCCAAGAAGTAGATATTCTGCTTCATGCCTTTATGAGTTTCATTCCCACTGAGGCATTCCACCTTCGTTAATGTTTCCTGTGCTCCAAGGCCTCCTCAGGGAGCAGAGGTGCACCTGGGTTCCGTAAGGTGGCACCAACCAGCACCACAGCAGCTCTGGTAGGTGCTCATGGGCACAGGCACAGGGATACGGCTCAGGTTTCCTACGTGCAGTCTCCTTATCCCAGTGTGGATCAACAGTGGATGAATTTTTTGGCCAGAGAAATTAACAAAAGTCTTTCCCAAGGCAAGGAAGGGTAGTGAACAGTCTTACTGGAGGAAGGCTCCAGACTAATGAAATCACAGACCTCGGCATTAAAATAAACCTGAAGCAAACAGCCAGGCATAGTTCCTGGTATTATTGCTAGACTGGCTTTATGACAGATTTATCAGTGCTTTTGTTCCAAAGAGGTTCAACCTTTAAATTTATGATTAGTCACCGTAAGAATATCTTGGACATTTATTTATTTATTTGTTTTTGGTGAGGCAATCTGGGTTAAGTGACTTGCCCAGGGTCACACAGCTAGTAAGTGTTGGAGGCTGGATTTGAACTCAGGTCCTTCTGACTCCAAGGCCGGAGCTCTATCCACTGCACCACCTAGCTGCCCCTATTTCATTTCTAACTTATAAAAACGCGTAAGAAAATTCGACCTCAGTTTCTAAAGTCAAAGCACCAGAAATCTGTTTTTAAAGAAGGTAACTAAAACGACTTTCTTACAACTCCTGTTACGTGTAAATGGCAATCCTCAAAATGCAGGAGGAAGATGGAGTGCAGCAAAGATATTCCCAAGAAAACCTTTCAGTTTAAGTGAATCATCTTTTCATTTACTAGAATTCAGAACATGCTGAGTTTCAGTTCAATTTACTCTTAAAGACAAGAACTGCTGAGTGTATAACTCCTTGTTTCTTTTTCCACACTGCTTCCTAATATACAAACACAAACATTTATCTATACAGTGAAAAACCAGAGTAAATTGTATTCTATGCTAGTTTATTGCTAATTGAGTACTAATGAGTTAGAAAGACCATACTACAGTTAGCAGCACCCCAAAAGAGGGTCACTGCATACCAAAGATCAGTCACTAACTTCAAGATTCTTAAGTACATTATAGTTTCAAAATGTTACCGGATATCCATTAACCATGCATATTCACCACCTTTGCACACAGAGGCAATATGGCAAGAGCTGACTGAAGTTCCGTTGTGTCTATGAGTCTTGCCTTTTGGTTAAAGAGCTTATAACCAGATATAATGAGGGTGCAACGCCAATCTGCTCATTGTTATAATTCAAAGCAAATACACTATAATCTCTTTAAATGTATTTTTAAATAGCAGTAGAAAGTGGGAGCAAGAATGCGCTTATTTATTTAAAAAATTAGACTACAAAGGCACATTAACCATATTATAAAGATATTAAGACCACATCCCTTCGACAATTATCACAAATATAATTAAGTCCTAATTTGCTCATACATTCACTACCACAAAATGTCTCCTTTGACTACAATTATCCTGTAAACAACATTTAGGACAGAAATGAAAATCATTGCTTTTAATTTCTGATTTTCTAGCTATGTATTCAAGACTGATTCCATCCCAAAGTAAAATGCTGTAAACACTGAATACTTAATAGTTCATTTGTGTCATGAGTCACTTTCTGAAATTATTTAAATAGTGCAAATAAGCTGCACACATACACACACAAAAGACACACACAGAAACCTATGAAGACGACGTTAGAATATTTCTCTTCAACATCATTTTAAAAAAATTTGGACCAAGGTTGAAAAACTACTTATATTTATGCTCAGAAATACCTGTAAAGATCGTTTTTAACTTCAAAGACCATTTTGAAGTTGTATTCTAAGTCATGATGAATTTTATATTCCCCTGGCCCACAAATAACTATTCTGCAAGATTGATTACATTCAGCAGTGGTAATGCTACTAAAAACACCGAGCATCTGGTCTGGAAACATTTACAAATCCAAAACTATACTATTTGTCAAAGCACATGGAAAAAATATTGCATTGATCCATAGAGTGTCCAATTTACAAAGACCTATGAAGAACTTTCACTTACAGTAATTATTCAATCTTTCCACATGTTAACATAATTCCTTTTCAAACTTTAAAAAAAACTGCAGGGTCTACCACCAAATCTCACCAATGTTCTAACCGCTATGAAAATGACTTAGTTTTTGATGAATTTTGAAAATAAAATATTAAGACATGATTGTTAAAGCATTAAAAAAAAGTCCTAAATAGTATAAGTAGACAAGACTTCTTTCTCACCCTGCATATTCACAATAACACACAGCACTTTGATTGTCTAAGCCACAGCACAGGGACTAGTTAGGATATATGACTTCTCATGCTAAAACAAATCAGTTAAACAACTTTGGTAACCTAGCAGAGTTAACTTCGTGTAAATATTTTGCGACTATCTCTCCCCACCCGAAACAACACATACTTAATACATGTGTTCATCTATACACAGAGTGTCCCCAAGGTCTTAACGCAATGTTAAGGTTCTAAATAACACTAAGACTTTAGAGACACCACATATATACATACATACACGCCTAGGTACATACACACATACCCCCCACATATACCCCTGTGTGTATATGTGTATATATGTACACAGTAACATTATATAGATGCATATAACAATCTATTTCCTGAGTAAATCATTAAATCTGATTAGGAAAGTTTAACCAAAAAAGGGGGAGGGGAGGGAAACAAACCACTATATCATATTATTAAAATAAAATATTAAATAAACATTAAATAAATATGGAATGTTTAAGAAATTATAGTACCAAAAACTAATACATATGGCCATGCTTTTGATTAAGTGCATACTAAGTTAAACAGTTACTTAAAAGCCATTGTAAGGAATTAGTAAATGTGATTTCAAATCCTGAGTGTACTTTAATTCACCTATTAATGGTAACTTTAACAAGCTACTTAAATTATAAAAACCTTTCAGTCCCTCTGTTTCCTCGGGGACCAGTAAAATAGGAATTCAGCTATGATCATTATCCCAGCTGAAAATCCTGAACTGACCACATGACCACATGAAACATTTTCTCAAATGAAGTCACTATAGCTTAAATAATTAACCAATTTGGAAAAATAAGATTTTTCAATTTCCGGCTCTAGTATAGCAAAAATACCTTTAAAAACTCAAATTACTTTGGCACCCAAATGATTTTAAGAACCTTTTAAAAACTTCAATGTACCCTTTGCAGACATTTTAGGGAAAATTTACTCTTTAGATACTTTGCCATCATTTGTCAGTTACAAAGGTTATTTATCCTTTCCCCAGCTCACGGTTGAAAGTACAGAAGTTAATTTTGGATTCTAAAGAACCAAAGAAATATTCAGCTATTTCCATCTTCCTAAGTGATCCAATATTTCACAGAGAACACACTGCAATATCATAAAAAATTCCACATCACTCTTTAGAAATATGCATTCTGAAATCACAGTAACCAAATTTCATCCATCAATTATTTTTAAATTTTTTTTTGAAAACCTGGAAACGCTTATAATCAGAAAAAAGTGCTTTTGCCCCCAATATTTTTAAACAATGATTCAAGAATCTACTTGGTGCTCTCGGCTTCCTTTTTCTATTCCATGACTTTCATGCTCCACAATTATTTTTTCCTGGGTACTAGCATTTTGGGGACACAGTTCTTGTAATACCCTTTCAATCTCTTCCTGTTTCACAGGCAGGCGGAAGCAAGTTTTGGGCAAAGTCATCTGCAATGCACACCATAAAGCAGTCCGTGTCTTCCGTGTTGCAAAGGCAAGCTCTTTAATGACTAATGCCAGAGCCAGGACATCTATGACAAAAAAGATGTTGCCAATCAGAACCATAGGCCCAGAGATAAGCCATACAGTTGCTCAAAGCAAGAATACAAATCAGTACTTTCTTATCACATTTTTGCCATGTTGTAAATCCTAGGTGGAAAACAGGATATATATCATAGAGAATGGACACAGTGTCTGCCTCTCCCCCCCAACTCATTCATTCACACACACACACACACACACACACACACACACACACACACACACAATATTTTTAGTTTCTGCCCTCATAAAACTTTAAATCTAATTAAAGAGACAAAATTAACACAGGGAAATTAAAGACTAGTAAAGTCTGTAGGACTAAGTACAATATAAATTTGGAAAAGGGAAAGATTAACTTAAGACAGGATACTTGAAGAAAGCTTGGTGGAAGAAGTTATTTAAGCTGGGCCTTCAAGCCGAGGTGGATTTAAGTAAGAAGTGGGAGAGAAAAGAGGATTCCAGGTAGGGAAACAACCTGCACAAAGACATATAAGAATGAAGATGGAGGAAATGGGGGGGCAGTGCTGGGAAGAAGTGAAGAATATCACTGAAGAGGTGGATGAGACGATGAAGGATCTTAAAAACAGGCACTGGAGTTTGAGACCTAATAAATCAGACAAAGGGGGACCCACTGTAGGTCCTTGGGCAGGGGAGATGACATAATGAAAGCAGTGACAACCATACATGTAGGACAGGCCAGAGAAGGGGCAGGGACCATAGGCTAGGAGGCGACAGCAGTGAGGAAAGAACTTATACTGTGGCTAGGGTAGAGCTGCCTAATTTCTCCAACGCAGAGCGATCAGGCAGGCTCATGGTAGAAGATAACGTGAACGAAGTAGATTGTAAAAGATCACAGAGGGCCTGGAGTGCTAAGCTTAAAAACTCCACTTTTATTTATTCTGTAAGCAGTGGGGAGCCAATAAATATTTTTGAGATGATGACTGCTAAAGTTTATATTTTTGAACCTGGAGTAACAGTGGTATCATTGACAGAAATGGAACAGGTATGTGGGAGGGGGGAACTTCTCCTTCCCCTGTGGCCAAAACATCTCTCTTTAGCCAACCTTTCGGCTTCCTGATGCCCTCCCACATGCTGATTACCCAAAACTACAACCCTAGCGACAAGCCCCTTACCCCAAGAACTCCTCCTGTTTTCTCATGCCTAGCTAACTTGGCCCGACCCCTCCCCCAATCCTACCCTGGTCCCCTTTTTACAAGCTAGTTCTACTGTGTCCTTTGAAACACTCATTTTGCTGTAAGCTTCACTCTCGATCTCTTCCTCTTCTATTTTCCCACCTTCTTGAAACGCTGTGTGATTCTGTCTTTCAAAAAAATCAGGGAACCAGACTGAGCTACAGACCCTCTCTCCTGGAAAGCGTCTTAAAAGACCCGCCTCAATCTAATGAAAAAGAATCAACATCGATGAAGTTAAGTATCAGATTAGATAATTTTTAAAAAAATAAATAGTAGCAAATATAGTTTGACGCTGGGAAATACTCATCTATCCCACACTCCATTGGGTTTTCCCCATTTCCATGTCCACTATGTAGCTACCTGTGAAATGATCCAACGTGTTCAATATTCAAATACAGGGGAGAGCTGGGCTCAAGTACTACTAGCCCCCCACAGAACCTGTCAGTGCCCTGCCCCGCCCCCTCCCCATCCGCCTGGGCAGAGGGAGTCTTCCCTTGGAAGCTGCCTGCGCTTGTTCGGCTGTGTCCGACTTTGTGACCCCATCTCAAGTATTTTTCTCTAGGATCCCCTCCCCCCAATTCTGCAGCTACTGTTCAATAATGAGCCACTCTTTTAGAAAATAAAGCCTGGATACGGGACCGTCAAAAAACAATTACGTAGAAGCAATCCAATCGGCTTCCTATTCGCTTCGTTCACTCAAAGGTGCCCCAGGTAACTCTCGAAGACTCTAAAATGCAGATCTGTACTGGGAGTCCCCGAAATGGACAAAATCCCAAGCCCAGCTCACTCCCCTAAGAGATTAGACCTGCCTTTCTCCTTATTACAGCGAATTCTTTGGTGTGGGGGATTAGCAGCATTAACAAGCTCATCTTTACGCTTGGCTTGAGTAGCACGAATGGCTTCTAAGTGGCGTTCCAGAGTGATGGATATATTCTCATGGACAGGGCTACCACGAAGCTTTTCCATCTTTCTCAGTAAGGTCAAAACCTTAAAAGAAATACGTATACATTTAGTTAGTTATAAGCCACACGTATTTTAAACTCAACATACCTAACAACTACTCCAAAACATACTTGATCAATATCAACATATACACTCACTCTGGCTTGTTCCTTTAACTGATCCATAATTAAGCGATCCACTCGGGAAGGGTTGGCAGGAAGTCGCGAAACAGGAGTGTTATTTGAACTGGAGACCCTCTTTCCTGGAAAGTTTCTCGCAAGATCTGCCTCAGTCTAAGGAAATATAACACATAAGAAGTGTGAGATCTGGAGAGGAAAAAAATCATACACATGTAAGATACAGAGAGCTATGTCTATAGACACACATTTGTGACCATACATTTTATCTCATACAACTAGATACAGATGATAAGATTTGTCTAGTATCGATCACAATATGTTAACTGTCATGGAAACGGAAAAATGCAAAGAATATGCCAGACACACACACACACACACAACCTCAGCAAATATAGCTTGATTCTGGGAAACTCTACTTGGCACCGCCTCTGCTCTATTTCCACATTAGCTGTGCAGCTAGGCAGCAGATGCAGGATGTGAAATGCTCCAATTTGTGCACAGCCAGACTGAACTCACATCTATCACTGTGAAAGCCACTATTACCTTTTTCCGTTCTTTTTCTAGAGCTCGCCATTGTTCACAGCACTCTTCCAGCTGGGTATGAAGTTCATTAGCAGGTCCACTCCGGTTTCTTGGCAGTCGGTATTTGTTAAAAGGTGGTGGAAAGGCAAAGTATGGTGGTTTTACTTCCCTACAAAACAAATCGCTAACGAAGGGATTCAAATTGGTAAGGCCACCATCATGGAAAATGTCAACAAGCTCTGAAAGAGGAAATGCTGATGGCGGGAAACTAAAATTAGTTGTTGGCATAAAGGGAGAAGGGTTAAATGGGGTAAAATTAGGGTTTTGTTTTAGCTCTGACACAAAAGGGAAGGCAGGAAGGAAAGAAGGATTGATGAAATCTGACACGTTCACATTATTCTTTTCTTGTTTCTTTTGGAAAATGTTAAACTGCTGACGGTTCTGACCTACGTAACTAGGTTGGGGAATCAAGTTCTTCCTACCTTTCCTATCATCTAGACTCTGTTTTTTGCGGACTCTGTATCTATCAGAGTGTTCACTAGCAGCATTCTGCTGCAACAGGCAGGTGGATGACAAATGGGCAGGAATTTTGCAATAATGATGACCCTTGGAAGCCACTGGATTAAGGGGGAAACATCCCGTTTGTATATTTGGTTTCCGATTTTCAGTGTCAGAATTTGGAAACCTCAGACCATTATGGACACCATTTGGCATTTGTAACTTCCCTTCCTTCCTGAAGGGTACTGGTGGTATCTGCTGGTAGTATGAAGGAGAAATCAAAGACTGGTGCATGGCAGAGCCACAAGACAAGACTGAAACTCCAGAAGAAGGCTGACAGCCTGATGCCAATGGCTTCACAAACGCAGAATTTTCCACCGGAACTGGACTTAACATGTGACCATCCACCCAAATATGCTCCCTGAAGAATGACTGACAGTTTCCATTCTGTAAAGCAGTATTTATAGACAAATCATAGTCAAGGGGCTTCAAGGGAACTGCTTTGGAATTTCTGGGAAACTGGCATCCATGATCTTCAAAGTTGCCCATAAAGCTGAAGTTACTGGGGTCATTCAGTAAGCTGGTTTCCTGGGATTTCCTGTCGACTACTGCTGACAAATTTTCTTCAGGAAATGGCTGGTTGACAAAGCATAGGGGAGGTGGAATAGATGGCTGTATTTGCTGAGAAGGTATCATACCTTCATTTATTTTAGGAAGCAAATGATTTTCATGAAATATATATGGATCAGCAGTCAGACTGCCCAAATCATTGGAGCATTTCATTTGTTCCTGGATATTAATTTTCATTATCTTCTCATTTGCTCTATCAGGTTTCCAGGATTCCTTTTGAATACTAGCCCTATCTTTATATCTACTTAGAAAATAAGAGTTAAGATCAGAACAGTTCTTTTCAAAATCATTATTTAATTTCATTTTCTCATAATTAGTCTCACTTTGATTGAATTCTTCATTCTGCAAAGGGAATCCTTTTGGTTGAATAACTGAATTGGTTTTAAAAGCTGAATTATCCAGGTAAGTGCTTTTGAAAATATTGTCAGGTAGCTGATTAGAATGGTCTGAAGGAGAAAGCCAAGACTCTACCAATCTAAGATCATCAAATGCACTTTGCAAGTTCTCTATATCAGGTGATATCTGAAAGTGTTCTTGACTGAAATTCTGTGTTTCAATGAAGTTTGAAAAATCTTCAACAGAATTCTTGAGAGAATATCCTGAATAGTCACCATTGTTACCAAAGTCAGGTGTCCACGTGGGAGGAAGGAGTCTGGACAAAGAATTCCTATAACAAAGACCACAATTAATAACAATACCCATCATTCTACATATGCTACAACTAAAATATTACAATTATCTGTAAAAATACATCAAAGTCTACATGTTTCCAATCCATATCCCAGAATGCAGCCTTCAGTCAAGTTCCAGAGGAAGTCAACATGACTACTTTGAAGAACATGCACAACTATCTCTCTATAATATTTAACAGGGCTTCTGCACAAACTTACCAGTCTGTAACAGGGTCTGGAATATTTGGCTCCTCCAAAATGTCTGAAACCAATCCAAATGTGTCAAGGCCATTTCCGGAGTAAGATAAATTGATCTGTGCCCTGAAAAATATATCCACCAAATAATTTTGAGAAATAATTCACAAACAAAATACCTACACCACCATTTATGACCAATTACTTTTACATCAGTATGCACCACATCTTTTTTTTGGTAAATTACTGACAAAACCCAACGTTTCTAGGGCGTAAATGGTAGGCCAGTAATTAGACAGAGATCAGGATGGTAAAGCCACGAGAGGTCATACCATACAAGGCTTAGTTGAAGAAACTTGTAATGTTTTGCCTGAGTAAACAGGAGTACCATCTTCCAACATTTAAAGGAATATCATTAATGGGTTGATCTATTTGGAAGTAAGTCTCAATAAAGTACCTCAGGGTTCTGTCCTCTCTCCTTTGCTGTTTAAAGTTTTTATTAATTACTTATAGAAAAACATCAGTGCATTCATGTGTTAATTTTGCAGGTTACACAAACCTAGCCAACATGTGGGACAACAAAGCCAGAAGCCCAAAAAGTCCTGACAGGCTAGAACAACAGGCCAAAATCAAAAAAGATGCAATTTAACAGAAACAAATGCAAAATCCTATGTCTGGATTAAAAATCCACTTCACAAGTATGAAAAGGGGAAGGCATATCTAGACAACAGTCTCTGTGAAAAAGAGCTGGGGATGTTAGTGCTCTGCAAGTCTTATTTGAGTCAAATGGAGTGTGACCCAGCAGCCAAAGGAATGGCAGAGAGCTTTAAGTGTAAGAGAAGTGACCATCCCACATCAGGGAGGCAGTAATCCTACGTCGCTCTTCTCAAAGTCTATCAGATCTGCAATGTGTTCAGTTCTAGATGCTTTATTTTGTGAACAACACGGGTGGGGGGCATGGGGAGAGGAGAAGGAATAAAAGCTTCAGTGTGTCTAGAAGATGGTGCCCAACATGTTCAAAGGTTACAACAAAGGTCTCAGGACCATGACAGGTGAAGGCTGGCTGAAGGAACATGAATGCTGAGACTGGACCAGAGAAGATTTAGGAAGACCACATGAAAGCCAGCTGCAAATTCTTCAAGGGCTATCATGTATTAGATTTGGGTTTTTTTTTTAACTTGGCCCCTAAAGAACTTGGAACAATGAATGGAAGCTGCCAGGAGGTAGATTTAAGTTTACTGCACCAATAAAAGCTGTCCAAGGTGGAAATGAACAGGTGCCTAAGCAGGTGGTGGGCTTTCCCTCCCTGCAAGTGCTCAAGCAGAGACAGGAAACCAAATTAAAAATTCAACGAACACTTATTACATTTCCAATACATGCAAAGCACCTAAGATTCAAAGAAAAAAAGAAAGTCTCTCACTTTAAGGAACTTACATTCAAATAGAAGGATACAAAGTGTACACAAACAAGCACAACACAAAGGAGGCTGTGACAGAGGCAGAGGAGAGCTGTGAAAAAGGTGCAGACAAGGTGCAGCTGTAGGTTTTGGAATCTCTATGAAGGCAGAGAGCACTCGGCTACTGGGGGCGTGGGGCTGGTGTACAGACTCGGGAAATGCTGGCCCAGAGGGCAGTCTTGAAGAAAGAAGATCTCTAAACAGCTGAGATGAGGAGAGAGCGCATCCTAGGCATCAAGTACTTTGGGGAGGGCCTGCTCTTCAGGCACGGGTTATACGAGGTGTGCACCGAAGCCCGTTCCCACCTCAGACTCAGCGATACTCAACGCCTCAACTAATGAAAGAACTTAAAAGATTAACCTTTGATAAATTCGGCCAGTTCCAAACTTACTAAGCGACATAAATAAAAACAACTCTATAAAATGCTAGTTGGGTTCTCAGACCATATCACACTATTTCAATTATACTTAACTCAGCTGCTGAGTTCCTAGACTTCCTGCAGTTTCTATTAAGAATTCCAATCCTTTTCAATCATATTACTGCCTTTGCAACCACAACACACAAGAAGGCTGCCTCCTGCTTTCAAAGCTTGGAAGCCTGGGAAACAAAAGTTAAGCAGCCTCAGGATAAACTACAAAAGAACTACAGCTCCAGACTGACCTGTGAGGTGCAAGCAGCTCTTCAACAGAACAAAGGGATCTTGTATCACTTTTAAAAGTTCTAGTGATTTCTCAAATATCTCAAGTGGTCTAAGCCTGCATTCTCTTTTGCCCAGAAGGCTCTTGACCCTGCACAGCTTAATGTCTGAAGTTTAAAGGGTGTGAAGGGGCCTAGGCTCCAACAGCACCCCCCCAACCCTCTATCCAAATTCTAACACCTCTATCTTGCTGGATGACAAAACCCAACAGTATCCAATCACAAAATGTAGTGGTCATCCTCAAGATTTAATGGGGCTGGGTCAAGGAAAAAAAAAAGAAGCCAATTAATTAGAACACAATCAATTCCACTTGGCCAAATTCTAATTTTGCCAATAATACCCTTTAAAGCAACACTAAAAACAGTAAAGAGGTATGAAAGAGCTGAAGCACTGAATAACCCCAGCATGTGGGTGTAAAATCTTTTGGGCACTGATCTCTTTGGTTGTAAGATACAAAAGACTTTGAACAAATTCTTCTAAGATAAAATTATAACCTCTTGTTCCATAAGAGTCATGCAAAAAGTTAATTATTGACAGTATAATTGTGAGGCAGTGTAGTACATATATGGTGAAAAGAACAGTCGCTCTGAAGCCCAAAGACCAAGATTCAACCCCCCCCAATCTATCACTCATTGCGTGTATGGCCCTAGATGAACATCTTTATCTTTCGGTGTGTTAGCTGTTTCTTCTAAAATGAGAAATTCATTGATGACGATGATTTCTAACGTCCCAATCAGCTCTAAACGCTCTGATCCTATTTTGTTATCATATGAGGAAACGTTACAAAAGCAGAACAGCTATAAAACTGCTTTAGGCTTTATTTTAAAAGGGCTGCTCTCTTAGGTTTCAGGATCCCCAGATGAAAGGATGTGCTATAATTCAATTATTATGTTAGCAAGTATTTAAGTTCCCATAATGTGCAAGGCATTACAGATACAAAATCAGAACCGTCCCTGCCCTCATGGAGCTTCCACAACATGTGCCTAGAAAAGCAAATACCAAATGATTTGAGGAGGGAGGGAGAAAGTACGAGTCAAGGAATCCCAGAAAGAGAAGAGAGCTGAATGAAATGAGAGGATTTTGGGAGATCCTGGGGGGAAGGATGAAATGGACTCCAGCATGTGGAAATGATGTATGTGAATGCGTGAAGGCAGGAAACAAATGGCGTCCTGAGCTTAAGGAACAGCTAGCTGTCCAGTTTGACAGGAACTCAGAGCATGTGAAAGGGAATAATAGGAGTTTTAAGGCTGGATAAGTGGGTTAATTAGACTGCAAAAGGCCTTAAATGACAGGTCAAGACATTTCTATTTTGTTCTAACAACAGGGAGTTATTAAGTTTTTACTCTTTTGGCATCTATATGAAGAATGGATTGGAAAGGAGAAAGGCTAGAAATAGGGAAACTAATTTGGAGACTTTTATAACAGACCAGGCAAGAGGTGACCAGGGTCTGAGCTACATAGGGGGTCATTTGAGCTAAGATGATGTTGTAGAAACAGAATCTATAAGACTGGCAAATGATGAGATATGGGGGGTAAGAATGACTTCTAAGTTATGAACTTAATAATGGAGAGGATGGTTGTACAAACAACATATATACTTGATACCTTTCATTGGCATAGTCTTGAAAGGCGGTGGGTGGGCTAGTGTCATCTCCATAAACTGACCAGTTACTATATGAACCAGAAGATTCCAGAGGTGGTGTATTAGTAATCTCACCCAGCAAAGGACTGAATTCCTTGTCCATTCCTTGTTGCTTACAGTTTACCTGAAAGAAAACAAAAAGATAATTTAAGCAGATTAAAATATCATATTTGGTAAAAAGGCAATGAAAACTAGTTTTAGTTTAGATGACTGAAGAAAGCACTTTATAGCAACTGACTACATTTTTCTTAAAAAAAAAAGTTTCCTAAATTATAACACTTTATTTATCTAAAACATTCACCTTACAACCTCAACTATACCTAGCACATGGCTAAAAACCTGGAAGAACAAAAAAGGCCTAGGTACACAGCCCAGAGTCCAAGTCCCGATGTCTATACATTCACAAGTGATCCCCTCCAGACCTCTCTCAGAACCTGTTAGGCTCACAGAATATGAAGAGTTGAAAAAAGCTGAGAGGTTGAGTCAAACCTCCCAACCCATCTCTGACATCTCCACGAGAGGTTATGTAGCCTGTACTCAAATGACTCCAAAGAAGAACTCTTACTTCATTTTCTACATCTGGACAGCTCCAATTATTACTAACTTCTTCCTTATTTTGAGTCAAAACCTAATTCCTAGTTCTTTTTTCTGCAAGCAGTATGAAATAGTCAGAATTTCAGAGCTAGAAATTCCCACGATAACACATCCAACAAGTTAATGTCCAATTCTTACTTGAAAATCTCCAATCCTTTAGCCCTCTTTTCCCTCCCTCTCTCATTTTACTTTTAGATAGCTCTAATTGTTAGGAAGACTTTCCTAATATCAAGCCTAAATCTTCTCCTTTATAAGTTTCTCCCATTGCTCCCAGCTTTAACTTCTGGGCCTCTTCAATACAACAGCCCTCCAAATACTTCACCATTGCTAACCCGTATTCCCTGAGTTCTCTTCTCCAGGCTAAAAATAGCACCCAGTTTCTTCAACCAATCTTGTATGACTAATCACGTGCCTTCTTTAATGAACCTCTGCAACCAATGACACTCTGCCTGGATTCATTCTTCAATGGTTAACACACATACTGCCTAGCCCCTTCCACTCTCCTCAGCCCAGTAATTATGAAGCGCTGGCTGCCAATACTCAAATCCTGTTGCCTGCCCCCAACTGCCCATTCCTTTATTCCCACTTTCCTGAACCCGACCCCCCATTCAATGTCATACTCCAAATCTGCCTGCCCCCTCCACTGTGCCCTCTAGAATGCCCACCCCACAAGCATTCTACCCTTTGGCATTCACTGACACAGCTCCCTTTTGATATATACTCAGTCCAATTGACCTGCTCCCCTTTCTAGTACTAGCTATACTTTTTTCCCAGAATCCCCAGCTCTGTGGGGAGGAGTTGGAATGCTCTTTGTTCCCTACTGCCACTTCCAGACTCTCCATTTACCCCCACCACTCAGCAGCCTGTCCTCCCTTTGAAGTTCACACTATCCAAACAGCTCCCCAATCCAGATCCTGGTTACTAGATGTTCTTGGAACAGTTCAGTGCTAGGCTCCAATCTCTCTCTCCTCTCCCCAACTCCTGCCTGCATACTAGGGGACTCCAACACACTGATGCTCCCTCTAATGCCCTAACTTCCAGCTCCTCAATCTACTCAACCTCCACAACCTGCTCTTTCACCCTACCTCAGCCACATCCATTATCCATAAGGATCCCACTGCCTGATTCACAAACTCTGAAATTCCTTTATCTGACCCTAACCTTTTGGTCATCCCTTTGCCCATGCCTTAGGCCTCCTAACTCTGTTCTCTTTAACTTCAGTGACCTCCATTCCCTCCACCCAGACTATTAACTGCTCTGGGTACCCTCTCCTCTCTTCCCTATTTAGTCAACAACTCATTTCTATACTATCCTCTCCTCAAGTCCCTTGCCCCTTTTTCCTTTCGCTGATCATGCTACCAAATCCCAATCCTGGCTTACATCTACCATCTACCTCTTCCATTCTTACTATGTTATTTCTATTAAATCTTACAAGGAATCCTGAAGTACCTTGATGTATGCATAACAGATATCTTACTGTAAAAGAGCCCAGAAGGTGGTGTTTTATTTTACAGAATCAAATGCTTTTTCATAATCAACAATAGCTCAATGAGATATTACTAGATTCTCTACACCTCTCAAGTAACTGTAAGATGGAAAAGATATGGTTCCAGAAAGCATCTTAGTCAGTAAACACCTAATTTACTTGACAAATGGAAAGAAATAGCTGCCTAACTCAAGACTGGCCTGGACTCTTTTTATGATGGCCAAGAATTGAAAATTGAGGGGATGTCCATCAACTGGAGAATGGCTGAACAAGTTATGGTATATGATTGTGATAGAATACTGTTGTGCTATAAAAAATGATGAGCAAGATGCTCTCCGAAAAACCTGGAAAGACTTACATTAAACTGATCCAAAGTGAGCAGAACCAGGAGAATATTGTATATAACAACAAGCAATATTGTGTGACGATCAACTGTGAATGACTTGGCCACCAATACAATGACTTAAGACAATTCTCAAAAACTTATGAAAAAATGCTATCCACCTCCAGAGAAAGAAATGATGGTGTCTGAATGCATACTGAAGCATACTTTTTTTAACTTCATTTTTGTTTTTTTTTTGGGGGGGGTGTCTGTGTTTTCTTTCACAACATGACTAATGGCAATGTTTTGTATGACTGCACATATATAGCCTATATCAAATTGCCTGCACAGGGAGGGAAAGGAGGGACAGAATTTAGAACTCAAAATTGTTTTTAAAATGAATGTTAAAAATTGTTTTACATGTAACTGGAAAAAGTATTTTTAAAAAAAGACTGGGCTACTTCTCAGCAATGCAAGGATCTAAGACATCTCCAAAGATCTCATGATGGAAAATGCTATCCACATCCAAAAAAGAACTATGGAGTTTGAATGCAGAGCAAAGCATACTATTTGCTATTTTTTTTCTTCTGTTGTGTTTTGTCTCCTCTTTCTGGTGGTTCCTCCTATTGGTTCTAATTCTTACTTACAACATCACTAATGTGAAAATATGTTTAATAGGAACATATGTGTATAGCCTATATCAGATTGCGTGCTGTCTTAGGGAAAGAGGTGGGGAGGGAGGGGGAGAATAATTTAAAACTCAAATGCTTATGGAAGCGATTGTTGATAAATGAAAATAAAATAATCTAAAAAAAAAAAAAAGACTGGGCTAGAATATAAACTTGTCTGTAAAATCTTACCCCAAAAAGATGGACAGTTATGAACAGGACTATCTCTTTAAAAGGAGAAAAGCTATGGTAGATAAAACTAATTTTTTAAAAGTTTGGCAAGACTGAGCAAAGTCATCCTAAGTGTATTTAAGGATGAAAATTAAAGTACTACAGACTTAAGAAAAATGAAAAAAGATTTGGAAAAAAAATTTTTCAATAAATTTTTTTTGTTAAGAATATAGTGGAACTACTCTCCTTGGACCATAACATCACACCAAGGTGATTATAGAGAAGGAAGAAATGCCACTAAAGTGAGCCACTATGGGAAATGCAGCTGGGTTGGAACAGGTGTATGTACAGAGGAGAGCCATACTAGAGGAGCTATACTTCTGAAGGCACTGAAGGGCTCAAAGATAACCTATCTGAGAACTATCTGGGAATCTGGGGGAAAAAATCTGGGAAAACAGCAAAGTTATGGAAAAAAACCTCTCACTTTATTAATACTGAAAAAAACAGCCATGAAAGCCTCAGTAATTATTGACCTATATACCCACTACACCATCTATACAAAATCTGGATAAGAGTCACCTTATATAGGAATCAAGGGCATTCTCAATGTGTAAGGAACAAGTAGGCTTCTACAAATGGTATTTGACAAGGGAGCACATTTTTGAAATCTGCTCTCCCAACATCGACAATGCATGACAGATTATGCCCAGCTTTCCCCTCCTCTATCACAAACTCTAGGAAGGAGTGGTCATTTCTATACCAGTTACCAGTTCATCCTTGTCAGTAAGAATCAGACCCAGAGCAAAATTCTTTGTTATCTTCATCCTTCAAAAGGTAGAGAAATCACCACTAAGACAAGTTAAAAAGTTATCAGCTACTCTGCTTTCAAGAGGGAGTGCTCCTACTAGATATGAGGATAAATAAAGCACCCCATCACCGCTCCATCATGCTTTCGTACTGGCCTTATGTTTCCCAAACTCCTCACATATATCTTTTTTTGTCTAAGCAGTCTGTAATATACATCAATGAAAAAAAAACATTCTGTTTCACCTTCCATTGATCTTTACTCAAACTCTTGTTTCCACTGCCTTTTAGCACCTGGATATCTTCATGAGTATACTTTCTTAAAATACAATCCCTACCTCCATCCCCTTTAATCTCTTCTGAATAAAATACACCCATGTGGGGCTATATAGTCTAGTCAACTCTCATCCTGTCAAAGCTTCAATAATTACCTATGAGGTAAAATTTGATTCCTTGAATTAGGACCTCTAATTCATCATGTTTGTTTCATTATCTCTAGGTATGTGTATGTCAAGATTTGAGGGCCTGGGTTTTGCTTCTCTTTCCCTGCTAGGATTCTGCTCCTGTAAAATTAAGCTTTAACAACTATTCTTCCTTTACTGTAGCTACTCTGTATGGTATCTGCCTTCATGGACAGAGATAGGTGGTTTTCTCCCTCCTATATCCCACAGAAAAATTTCGAAGTATCTCCTGCTTTTATGCCATCTCATTTCCCAATATGTTCCATCAGCGAACCATACCTTAAAAAAAAAGCTAAACAAAACTAACCGACAAATCACTTAAGACCAATATCATAGGTAGTGTTCCCCCCCAACTGACCGTCATCTATCTCCTCAAAAAAGTGTGCCGAGAGTCTCACGCCTCTTCTTGGAGGCCAAGCTCGGTCACTATGATTTTTACAGCTTTCACTTCCCACTCATCTGTTGCTGTTCCTTCCATCCCCATTACTGAAACTGTTTTCCTGTTTCTAGCCACTCCATTTTATAGCAGTCTGCAAAGTCTTCCATGCTTCTTTTCATTCTTTGCTGCTGATAGTGCCATAATATTTCCTTACATTCATAGTTAATTTAGCCATTCCT